TAACAAATTCAACAAACGGAACACACACAGATAGACACAAAAAAGGAGAGAGAAAGAGAGAGAGAGAGGGAGAGAGAGAGAGGGAGAGAGGAGGGAGAGAGATAGAGAGACGCAGATAGAGAGAGACAGCCGAGAAAGAAAAGAAGAATCTCATTATTGAGAGAGACAGAGGATGTGAGAGATCAACTATTATTGATAATCCTCGCATTCTTTCGAACGAATCGTCCGTCGGGAGTCTGAGAGGTCCAAATAGAAAGAATCTCATGCTCCAACGACCCTTCTCGAGGCCATTCCTACAGAGGACAACGTCTCGTACCTTTTCTGCAGCTTTGGTCCATTTTTTTTCATGATTCCACAACTTAGCACCACAATACTTGCACGGTTCTCGACCACCAATGCCGAATGCCTCAACCGTGCTAGCACCTGCGACAATAGCCACAGTGTTCTCAACCGCTGCATACGGTGTTGCCACGGGTACAGACGGGAGTGCATTCGTATCAGCTGGTGAATCATCATCCAAATCATTCATTTGCTCATCTTGATTATCCGACTCACCTTGTTCCCGATTGTTCATTGAATTTTGAACTATAACGGGTGGATTGTGCGACTTCTCTGCTCTCCCTGACATACTTTGGGATTGCCTCGGTCGAGAACAATGACGACGCGTTTCCTTCGAAGAAGAAGATGCACCCCGCGACTAACCTGAGGTGGTTGCTCGAATCTCTCAAAGGATATTTACAAGGACCAAACTTCGTCTCACGCCCCGGAAAAAACGTTTGTGAGCATCCATATCTTCTCTCCTCCTGCGATTCTTAATCGTAGCTCTCAATGCACGCATACGTCTAACATGACAGCTTGCCCGTCTTTCCAGCGTCTTCTTTCGAGTGGAAATTTCATACGATGTAGACCCCGGTTCATCGCTATTCATCATATGGACTTGTTATGTTGCACCGCCACCGCCCACTGTACTTTCAACAACTACCGCATATGCATCAAAGTCGGGAAACACAACCTGACGTACGGACGACAACGATCCAAGGTCCAAACGACGCGCGACTTTAGCAGCTCGCAGTACCCGAACCCGCAACATACGATCTCGTCTATTACGCCTCGAACGAATCGGTTTCAATATTACCGATCTCCTTCGACGATTATGAAATCCAACAAACTTCCTAACCATTGCGTTCGGGGAATTTGGCAAGCTTCCGAGAGAAGAGCATGCCTGTGCATGAACAGTTGCGATGGAAACATAAAGGTTAGGCTGCACATATCTTCATAGCACATCTTCTGTGAATGTGGACGACGGTCCGTTCTCTACACGTGGTGAGTGAAAGGTAGAATCATCAACTGGAAAGGTTATTTCGATCGTAGGAACAGAATTGGTACAGACAGGTTTCGTTCGCAACGAATCTGACTCGTACAATTTTCATCAGGTCGTCCACTTTGCAAGGTGCTTGACAGGTTTCGTTCGCAACGAATCTGACTCGTACGAATATCAACATGTTCTTGACTCCTACGGAAAAAAAATTGAGGACTTGCGATATCATCCAACAATGGAATCGGTTGTTGGAAAGATAAAAATATATCACTACACTGTTCTTCCACAAAACAATCAAGACCTCAATCAAGAGTTGTCATCGGTTGTTTGTTACTTCTGTGAGCAGTCACATCACCCACAGCACCTACCGGTAGTAGTTAAGACCTTCGAGTCCGAGGACTCTGGGAAGGCGGTCGACCACGTTTGCGGTGTTCATCTTTTGATGACACCTGTGTTTCGGTTGTAAAGGAACAGCGAGTAATACCCGAACGTACACGCAATCCTAATCCATTATTGGACGAAAAAGAAGCATTCTGTAACGAAGGAAAATGAACTTGAGCAGAATCAATGATAGGCAAGTTATCACAGTTCGGTATCGTTGGAAAAGACAACAAAGGAGCGATAACAGGTCTTTTACAATGGCGAAGGCGTCTTCGACGCTTCCACGAAACGTGCAAGGACCTGTCGACAGACGAAGAAGTGTTTGAAGCGACAAGTAAATGAATGTCGCATGAATCCTTATCTATGCTTTCATCCCCCGCTATTTGAACGGGCATATATGCACATCTTTTTAGACGGCTATAACGTAAAAATTAAAGGATATGAGGAATATGAAAGATATATAAATCAGTAGGATGAAATATATCCCAGAATGTTTGTACACAGATGTAATTATGGTAGTAAGAAAAAAAATATTGTGTAAAGCATCTAAAAAAAGATAAAAATATAGTCAAAGGACAAACGAAGTTGGCAAAACACAAAACGAAAATTAAACAGAAGAAAACGTTGAGTTCACGTTCTTTATTATTATTATTATTTTTAAATGTTTATGTCGAGGGAAATGAAGGTTAATTAATTAATGACAATTCGTATTTTTTCTCTATTATCCGTGCGTTATATTTTTTTTTATGTAGTCGTAAAAAAATAATATTTTTTTTTTCAAATGTTTTTTTTCCCCCATACGCCCCTTAGTCTTTTCAGGGCCCCGTGGGATCGAGTCATACGTACCTCATTTATCCACGTTTACCCTTTGTCATTCCTCGACAGGGCTCACTTTCCTGTTCGTATAAGTTTGTGATTGGGAATGGAGTTTCTTTTGACGCCAATCGCATTCGATAGAGGCGACTCCTACTTGCGACCAGCCTTGGGTATTCTAACTCAGTTATTGTTCACAAAAAAATCGAAGAAGGGTAAAAGTTTTCCCCAACCTGCCCGAGTCCCAACCGCTAGGATCTAGTCTGAGGCACCCGTCCTCCTCGCCCAGGCACGAGGCTTGGATCTTAGAAGTAGGCGTTGGCTCCACCGCAACAACATAGCCCGCCCCCAGAAATGGGTCTATGCGGCGTACCGCACCTCTCCCCAGCCAGCCTCGAAGGTCGTGGTTCCAAGAAGAGTCATTCCTAGCGATTGAGGTCGGTCAAACTGTTGATGACCTCACCATTTCTCTCCTCCCTTGTTTGGGCAACTTAGATGAAATAGGAGCAAAGGGGGTAAATAACAGGATTTTTTGGAACAGGCTTACGTGAGAGGAGGTCGTTCGAGATAGCATGGGTGCCTTGGGAGAAAGGTTACGTTTATTGTTAGTTTCATTATTTATTATCGGACGGGTTCCTTCTCCGATATTCCTTACATTACACAGTGTAACCCAACCCTTCCAATACTATTTACTTTCCTTCATGTAAGGGCCTTAGTGTTTTCAGCGTTCAATGCAACATAATTATACGTACCTTGTTTTGGAATAAGTATGATTTGCTTTCCTTGGACAAAATGTAATCGGAGACGATGAGTGTGTGTTGTTGTTGCTTTGTTTTTTTTATTTTAACTATCAATGTTTTTCTTTAACGATTGTCTATTAAATCAGAATTTCATAACATGCAATATTGGCATTGTTTTTTTTTCGAGGGGAGGGGGAGGAGGGGGGGGAAGGGGGTGAAAGGTATTGTTTTTAAACTTGTTTTTTTTGTCGCCTCCAGGGTTATCTGACCGAACATTCGGGGGCCGAACACCTCCAGGTTCGACCCCCGCCAAAAATATTTTCGGGGGCCTGAAAATAAGTTTTTTTTTCGAAATAATTTTTTCTGAGTTTTCTATGCTGTAACCTACACGCCTGTAAATTTTGAAGCCATTCTTCTAAGCCAAAAAAACATTAAAAATCGTTAAAGATGGGGTGTCAAAACGTGATCGCCCACTAACTATTTTATTTTTTTTCACTTTTTAACTTTTTGTTTTCACTTTATTTGGGGGCTGAAAAAATTATATTATTTTTTTTTATTTTTTTAATGACTTACTGATTATGTAAACTACATATCTGTAAATTTTCAGGGCATTTGTCAATTCCACAAAATAATTAAAAATCGGCAAAGATGGCGGTGTCGAAAAGGTGCTGGCACACTCACTTATTTTAATTCTCTTTTTATTTATTTTTATTTTTATCATAGTGTTTATTTTCTGTATTTATTTTTTAATTCAAATTTGATAAAGAATTTGGATACGATGCCCTGGCAAATGTTGTTTAGTTTATTTTTCTCCATAACATTTTTTTTTTCGGAAGTTTTT